GCGTCAGTGTGCTGACTTTTAAATTCTTGAAGAACTCCAGACCCCCCCCCCCCCCGGAATAAGCCACGGAGGGGGTTATTTTTCTGCGACGCATCACTCACTGTGATGTGACTGAAGGGGCATTCGGTGAAAATAAATCAGATTCAACCGTTTAACTGGAGAAGAGTATACTATGTCACTTGAACCATATAAACATTCGTACGTGCCAGGTGAAGGCACTGTGAAATATCACTGTGTTGCAACAAATTCACGATTACGTGTTCCTCACAAAACGCCTCATTTGATGTGTGTTGAGTGTGATTTGGGTCCACCGAAAACACTTTTCTGCGCTTACTTAGTCAAAGCTGTAAAATAGGACTCATTCTCAATAGTGCACATGTGACGTATTTTATTAAGGTGTAAAAATTTACAAGTTTGACAACAGTTGGTCCAGAAAATCATTTCATTTGTCACATTTTTTATGGTTGATGCAACCTAATCTGATAGCTTGTGGACAATAATAATGGGAGGTCCTTTTGCTATTGTGAATGTGTACTATTCGAAGGTGTGTGTGTGTGTGTGTGTGAAAGTTTTGAAGATGGAAACCACATTTATATCACTGATGTCCCAATTTTGGCCAGTCTTCTCACAGACCGAAATCAGGTATCTATGGTGAACAGTTTTCATCTAACTCCTTCTTAACTTTGAACGACGGTTATATTCACCTATCCAGTGTATCGTGTTTCCAGACTACCAAGCATTTTACTCAAATGAAGATTTCGTAAATTTATGGAGTGGACCTTACTCTCGGATCTTACTCCCCCAAAGCAATTTAATGGAATCTGTTGAGAATAAGACGTAGTGAAACATTATCTTATGGAATTTAGAACACACGAAATATTCGGATGGTAAAACGTATCTGAGGGCAGTAGCTGAGTGTTACCTACAACCATCATCTATTGAGTCAGAACAATTGCGGTCTACCCCTCAGTAGGCTAACGTTTGCCAACGGTCAGACCTGGACGATGATGAACCATCTGTTGCTCCACTGAACTCCCCCCCCCCGCAGGTGACAGGACAATCCACAGGATGAGATCCTCATGTGTAAATCCTTATCTCAGTCCATTTTCTATTGGTTGATTGAACAACATCGATGGTACAGCTTGGATTTTGTACATCGTTGTCTCAGTAAAGAGTTCACACACAAGGATAGCGGTCTTGGTAGTTTGCATTTTTACTACACGCTCTGTGTTTGAGCTTGTGTTTGTTACCCTTAATACAAACATAAACTAAGAAGCAGCGAATTGACAGTCATCAGAACTTCCAACATGGTTTCCCTGGTAAAGTACCACAAGCAGACCAATTGCCAGATGGCCCTCAGGGTAAGAGTATGAACAAATTTCAACTGTATTAATCTCAAACATCGTATGCTTCCGGTTCAGTGAATCCATACTGATGATCACAAAAGTCATGAAATTAGCAGACAGAATCTCATTGATCGGAACTCTGTGCGGCCACATTTGACCTGAGCCGATTGCACCTGCGTCTCATTTCTGCTTCCGAGTTTCATCGCAGTCACAAAAGTGAAATGACCACGTTTATTCCGTTGCGTTGGATAGTTGCTCCTATTTGGAAAACATCAGCTTAGAGTGACTTTTCTTTCGTGTTTCTTTTGTGGAACCATACAGTAGAGTTAAAGTTGTGGGTACCCTAATCTCCAAAGATGCAAGGGTACTCAGGATCACACAGCGTCAGTGTGCTGACTTTTAAATTCTTGAAGAACTCCAGACCCCCCCCCCCGCGTAATAACGCACGTAGTGTGTTATTATCCGGATGACTCGCATCATCCCACGAAACTATCTCACGGTTGGATAGAGAAGCAGTTTGATTTAACAGGGCAAAAAAGAATTTGTCTGAAAACTGGAGGTTCACAATGAATTTCAAACGTAACCGACTGATGAATGGACTCGCTTGAGTGTTAAACAAGATAGCTGTTGACAAGATTGACAATAATCTTTAGTCTCCAATTTAGTCTCCAAGTAGGATCACCGGTGGGATCTCCAAGTGGGATCTTCGGTTCCGGAATCGCCTGGTCAACGATGAGTACTTTTGATACGTAGGACCTTTTGGTTCGCAGGTGAACTGAATGTCACGAACAATTTTCTACTTTCACATTGTGGACGGGGACGTAGTTTCGCTACACTTTGTTCGGTTGGGAATGGTCACAGTTGGAATGCGAGATGTCATATAGGGAATAATGAACTTAGCGAAATACACTCGTTTGCAAACTAATTTGGTTTTGCAAGTCTCACCTGGAACCCAGCTGAATCTCTCGTTTGTGATGTGAGTCTCTCACAAAACCAAAATGGTTTGCAAATGAGTGCACTTCGCTAATTTCGTGCAATCTGGTTTTAAGTAGAACATAAAGTAGAGGAAACTTCGGGGACTGCGCCTACCTGATGAGCCTCAAGCAAATAGAAACCAGTCGTGGGCTTTCAACGAATCTTCAGTAACCTTATGAGCAGTGCATTACGAAAATAATGAATTTAGTTCTTTTCAAGCTTCTCATGTGTGTTCAATATAAGCATCACTAAATGCTTAATCTGAGATGATTTGACCTAGTCTAGTTGAGGTAAAGTTTGAAAGAACTGAAATGAGCTTCTTTTGCGCTGAGAACTAACCCAACCAACACAGTAAAATGATCCTATGGATGAGTGAGTTGTGAAGATTGATAACGATTCACTCACTTGCGAATAAGGTTATCGTGAAATGGAACTCAACTGAATCCCAGCTTAATCTCCCCTTTATGATGCAGTTTGGCTGGATGTGCTGCACAAAGGCTGTCTCATGTTTCGGTTGGTGCGGTATTCGAAATATCGCAGTATATTTTCCAGACAGATTACACAGCTCACAAGGTTATAGTAGCGTTTTCAGCAACCTTATGAGTAGAGTATTCCGCTAAGAAAAGTCCAGACATGTTGTGTGTTCGTCTACGCACATCGTCTGCTGGGTCACCCAGTGCCCGTTGCCCTTTGCCTGTCATGCGAAGACGTTCATTAACCCTGAAATCGATACATAGACGTTTGGGAGAGGTTAAAGTTGGCGTTCAGATAGTCTTGGTCTGAAATGAAGTTATGTTTCTGCTTCTCTTGGCCGAGCTCTAGCCAGAATCAACAAAGCATTTTGGGAAGAGCATGAGTATATTTATGTTCAAGTCTTTTTTGGCCCATTCATCCATTCCCTAGACGAAATATGTGCGTCTGTATCGTCCATATCCCCAATGTATATTTTCTTTATATTTAAATTCCGCATAGTGACCTGTAAACTACTTAAGAACCGACATTAAGCTTCAACCCGGCCTCTCACACAGTTTAAGTGATCTTATAGAGTCCACACCCACAGTGGATGCTGCAAACTTAACATGTGGTTTGGCCATTATCCTAATCACGAATGAATCCGATTCTATCTGTTTCCTTTGGGTTTATGCATGGTTGCGCAAACAGCAACTCCACGTAAGGTTCCTTTGTCCTGTTGTAAGCACCACTAGATCTTTAGGCCTTTCATTCTGTGAGTGATGAGGACAGAGGGTGACTTCGTGGGCGGCGCTAATTATACCAGCATATGCATTCATCTAGCGACCTGAGAAGAGGCTGGCACATTCCTGAAGTGCCGTGAGGACAAAGAGGGCAGGAAGGTGTGGTTGCAGGCATAACTCAAGTAGAACATTCAAGCGGAGAGTGTTGCTCCAACTAATTGGCGCGATTGACCTCAACCCACTTGACACATGTTCATCCCCGAAAACCCTTGAAGTGGATCGCACAGCGGCAGTCCATACGCGGTTAAGTCTGGTCGGTCAGTCAGGGTTGCTTTTGGACAAAGAAGGGAACAGAACCTGGGCGGCAGTCAATATGCGGTTAAGTCTGGTCGGTAGACGGTCAGTCAGCGTGGCTTTTGGACAAAGAAGGGAACAGAACCTGCAGATGGAGTGTTTGTAGGACTGTGCTTTCTACAGACATCACACTTCGTAACATAAGGGTAAGCTGAAGCTTATAGCTGATTGGTTTCACTTACAAGTACAGCCGTAAAGACCAACCTATGAAATAGCATTCCATCCATACACAGAAATTTTCTGGTGCGCAAAAGCCAACAAGGCTGATCAATCTTTTGAAATCCGCAGTGACCTTTGCTAGACATCACTGGCCCATCAGGAAGACAACCGGAGGTCATTGCTTAATTAGACTGCCGTTTGCGAAAAAGAATGGTCTTACCAACCGCATAGTTGGTGAATAACCCGTTTTCCCCGGATGATGCTTGCACGAACCAAATTGTTCTGGCTAGCGAAAGAAAGTGTACCCAGTCTTCACTATTTGTCGCGAAGCATTTGTTCGGATTTAGCTGCTTCTTGTTAGATGACAGCGAAGTAAAACTAGGACCACAGCCATCGCCGAACTAATGTCCTCTTTCCCGCTGGTGAAGAAACTTTTACGCAAACAAACAGCCACATGTTGCATAATCAGTTTGTGTCCAGACAAGTGGGAATAAAACCGACAAAGTTTTTAACAGATCCAACGTCCGTCATTATCAAAAAAGCCAGTTAGCCGATAGTGTGGGTTGAATTCTGCATGAAACGCGACGCAATCCACTGTTCGGAAAAAACATCAGCTAGATGAGTATTGCCCAAAACACCAGGTAACTTCAAACCTGGCAGTATCACTGACCAGCGTGGCACACGAAAACTAATGCATGTCTCTTTTGTTCGTCCTTATGGTCATTTTGGAGTCCCTAGGATAGTAGTAGTCAGCCTAGTTCAAGTAACGTTTGGGATCTCAAAGGGCCACCCTTAGCGCAGTGCATCTCATTACTGAATAACGAGTTGATCGTGATGACATGATGGAACCGTCTCGCCTACAACCGCCAGTACAGTGAAGTAACTTGGTTGTTCGGTAGTTAAACAAAATCCGTAGGACTTCCATCAGTAGATCTCACAAGCTGTCCAATGGCATGTGTTTGGATCGTCCTGCTTAAACAATGGGGGCGAGATGGCTCAAGTGGTTAGAGCGTGAATTTACTGACCGGAAGGTCCGTGGTTCGAATCCGACCTCCGCCACTCGACTTTCCCTGTCTAGGCTTGGGCAACCTGGCAGTATCCCAGCCCTCGTGCTTCCTTTGGGTGGCATGGCAGCTAGGCACCGGAAGGGTGCTACGGCTGAACGCTCTTTTTTCTTTCTGCTTAAACAATTATGTTTGGTCCTTCTGAATGTTAGTTTAAAATTGATCGTAGCAGCCCTTTTCAACACGTTGTTGGCTGCCAAAGCCACAACCGAGGTGTTCGACCAACGCCCTATATCAGCAGTGGAATATAGTGGTTTTATTTTCCACATAGTTCTCCACAACTGACAACATTTGATGGGACGTTCCATTACTCCACTGAGTAACTGACCTCGATAAGCAAATACTATATGATAGCTAGCTTCGGCTTTATATGTCGCTTTTGTCTCCATGTTGTCCAAAACAACAGGAGTGAGGCAGACATAATGAGTTTCGAGCCTTCAGTATAAGTCCACCGTTCGCCTACGGCTTAAGCCATTCTGACTCAGTCACCACGTTGCTCTCCAGTGACTTCCAGATGCTTTTATAACTGTTCCTTTTGAGTAAAAATATTCATCAAAGAGTAAAGCCTTCACTTCAACGAGATCTTGTGTCAAAAATGTCGTGGAAATATCCAGCGGACTGCCTGGTGTTCGATCTACTGAGGAGTAGTCACTTCTCTGAAGGTCACTCTAAGCTGTTACCGTAATCGCAAAGTTTCTCTCCAAAGAGGAGACACTGAACATGATTCTTTCACGCAAAATCCATGCTTTATATGCATGAGGGGGATTCTTCAACTATTTTTAAAAAAAGACATTAAACTGAATTCAATACATGAAATTTTCTAGTTTTCCCGAATACGAGACTCGCCCATCCTTCAGATGTTAAGATATCAAGTTCTCCCCCTTTCAACGTGAATACTGCAGTTACTCTACTGTGTGGCTAATTTCGAGTCAGGTCCGTTTTTGGCAATTAATTCAATGAGCTAAATGACGAGTCTACTTCATAGTTATGCACAACGAAAGAGGCAAATGATCAACGCTGTAAAAATGAGAATCTGACCTACCTGGTGCTCATTTTAATTACCACTTTTCGTATTGGTTCCTTGATCGATTTCCCTTTCTATCGTGGGTTGCGTACCAGACATCGAGTGGAATTGACGCACTCAACCGATAGGATTATTCTTTTTTTCATTACAGTTTCCTATCCCGACCGGAAGTCCTTAAAACTGCCACACGCACCCATGTTAAAAAGGTTTCACGCTCTCATCTTTTATGTTTCTTTCATACCATTAAAATCGCAGTTTTCTGAAGGGAATGCAAGCATTGTTACCAGAAATAACTGTGAATTTTTTAATTCCCTACCTGCGAGGAGTGGGATATTACCGCATCATAACTTTCAGCTTAGTAGTGTCAAAAGTTGCTGTCTGGTTTTTTATTTTTTGGCCCTTTGCATGGTCCGTTGTACCAAATTACCTCAGGAAAACCTTGTTCCCCTTGGATGCGTATAATGAGGTCAAAGAACACTACTGTGTCCAACAAAGCCGCAGTTCCTCATGGGGTTTGGTCGACAATCGATTTATGATCCATTGGACGGCTCAGCCTCAGTTGAACCGATCTGCCGACGTGTGAATGATGCTCACTCACTGAGGGCTGTAAGAAAATCATCTAACCCATATCCCATGTGTCCCACTTGATGCCCATAGTTTGACGCTGGTGAACATGGTCACTAGACTATGCCACATTCGATAAAACTATTCAATGAACAACGTCAAATTTCACAAATGGTGAGTTTTTGAAAATCTTCCATTTTATATCAGTCCTCTGAGGAAAACTTAGTTTTGCGAGTTTAGTACACGGTAAAAACGGTGAAAAAAACCTGAAGATAACGAACAGGATGAGGAGTAGTCGGATAATAATGTCAAAGTGGACAGATGTTTGGACTCAATACACTTTTGCGCACATAAACCTGAAAGTTTCACCTCCGTCAGTGTTACCTTGCTGAACACTATTATGCTGAGTAAATGTGTGTCTAACGGAACAGTGGTTGGTTGTATGAGATCAGCGAAATAATTTTTGGTCAGTAAATGTCCGATAGTGGTGGGTTTCTGTGTGTAACCTATTGGTGCGCACCAGGGATTCTGTTGTGGGTTCAGCTTGCAGTGGTCTGGCCACCCAATAAGTTACTTTACCAGCAGTGTGCGTCAAAGAAATAAAAATAATAAAGCTAGATTGGGTATACAATAATAAAGAGGGCAAATGGAGCAGACTCACTAATAAGTGTTCTCTTTAAAATAGTTCGTCGTTGGCCCAGGTCAGCGAATAAACAATAATCCAATAATGGTAGTCCAAGGGTATTCTTTTGAACAGTTCCCACATAAAATAGGTTCGGAAGATGGTCTGAAATACTTTGATACCATAGTTAGCACATGAGACTCGCGAATGACCGCTGGAATTACGAGCGAAATCAGAAGAGAGAGTCGAAGCACGTGACCACATTCGTAATGGGTAAACTTTTGTACAAATGTGTTTTTGTAGTTTTTCGTATTCAAACAAAGAAAGGTTATGCAACTGACAAAATACGTAGTGTTATAATAAAGCAAAATAAAGGCACAAAACACCACAAGCTATTTGCTGGGAGTGAACACATATCATGGGACAATGATCAGCTAATTTCCAGTCCACATCCAGAAACCCAGGATGATCAGTTGCTGTCACCACGTACCAAACCCGGAATTTATGTTTTATGTGGACACGGAAGTAAATGAGTAGCTGGCGGAATTTATAGTAGTTACAAAATGGATGCAGAACGGTGTTATGGATGAAGGTTGGCCCAAATTGAGGGATTCAGCCAGCCTCTTGTTTCCCCCGGTTTTGGCTCTTCCTGATCGTTCTGCTTCGGGAAGTTCAAGTGCTAAAACCTCATTAGCGCATTAGGCTCTTGCGTCGAAATAAACAGTAATCTATGGTTGGTCATGCATTCACTGTTTTGTATTGGACCCGAGTAACCTGCAAGGGACCACTCTGTGTATCATTCCGATGGGGCATTTGTTACTCCTTCCGTCCTACAACTTTTCTTTTCTTTAACAGCGTGCATCCATGAGAGCACCTTATTTGTTGTCTCCAACCTTACTTTCGGTACAATTTTCTAGCCAGATTTGTCCCCTAGGGCTGACGTCCTTCACTGATGAGGGATGTAAATTCGCTTCACTTTATAATAAAAAAATAAAGGCACAAAACACCACAAGCTATTTGCTGGGAGTGAACACATATCATGGGACAATGATCAGCTAATTTCCAGTCCACATCCAGAAACCCAGGATGATCAGTTGCTGTCACCACGTACCAAACCCGGAATTTATGTTTTATGTGGACACGGAAGTAAATGAGTAGCTGGCGGAATTTATAGTAGTTACAAAATGGATGCAGAACGGTGTTATGGATGAAGGTTGGCCCAAATTGAGGGATTCAGCCAGCCTCCTATTTCCCCCGGTTTTGGTTCAAGTGCTAAAACCTCATTAGCGCATTAGGCTCTTGCGTCGAAATAAACAGTAATCTATGGTTGGTCATGCATTCACTGTTTTGTATTGGACCCGAGTAACCTGCAAGGGACCACTCTGTGTATCATTCCGATGGGGCATTTGTTACTCCTTCCGTCCTACAACTTTTCTTTTCTTTAACAGCGTGCATCCATGAGAGCACCTTATTTGTTGTCTCCAACCTTACTTTCGGTACAATTTTCTAGCCAGATTTGTCCCCTAGGGCTGACGTCCTTCACTGATGAGGGATGTAAATTCGCTTCACTGCGAACAATGCGTTATGGTTAATCGGAACTATTCATTTCAGCAGCTTAAAGCAAACACAATGAAGGTGGTAACTGTGCATGCCTGAGGCAAGCGTATTCTGCATGTTAATCAAGGTCGAAAGATAAAGTACTTTCGTTTTCGGCGCACTTTTCTGCTGACCCCTTGGGATGACCGAATCACCCAGGCTAGGGTGATAGAAAAACCCTGAGAGAGGTGCTCCAGAGGAATTAATAATTACAATTTTGAACCGCGGTAAAAATCTGGAACAGATGGCGCGGAATATAACTTGGAGAAACATTGCTTTCTGCGCTTTTATGAGTCCAACACCACCTGGTGACTTATTAGTTGGAGTTTGCTGTATTTCATCTCCTGGTACATTCACGTCGCTGATGAAACAAAATGATTTCCAACTGAGAAGAAATGGTGGTCCAGCTGCATTGAAGGGACTGACTCAGTACACTGTGACCCACCGTAGAACTCTTCCGAGCCGCACTTATACATTCAGATGAGTGTGAAAGGAGTGTATCAGGCACTAGGAAAGTGGGGCTGTCCCTCGAATTTACAACTGATCGAGATATCTCTTGGTAATATCTATCTATCTATCTATCTATCATCTATCTATCTATCTATCTATCTATCTATCTATCTATCTATCTATCTATCTATCTATCTATCTATCTATCTATCTATCTTATCATTTATTTATTTATTTATTTATTTACCATCTGTCTGTCTGTTCATCCATTTTTCTGTGTACATATCTATCTAATAAAGTCAAACCTTATGGATTCTTGCCCTGATCATCTAATATGAATCTTGGAACACAGTTTGTGAATACAGACTTACGGTTCGTTCACTGTCACCGACCAACGTGGGTTTCATTAGTAAATGTAGAATGTAGCACCTCGTAGATTAGAGGAAGACGCGACGAATAATATTTTGTGCCACAAACGTCGAACAGTTTCGAATCAAGCAGAATTCTATTAATTGTGTCCGTATGCAAGTTTCACTCACAGCTTACAACCTACCAAGTATCCCACATGCCACCAACCACTACACAGCATTGGCCGGGCTAAAAGATGACGGCTCAATGAGTCACATAATTCCAGTTCACTCATTCACTCACGACACCTGCACAACTGCTAAACCCTATTCAAATCAACCTCCACCCATTTACACTTGAGCTAGTACACTTGTTGAGTCGAATTCGGGTTAATCTACCATGGGATATCTTCGTAATGATTGGACACATATGATGGTCTCCGTGCCTCTTTGTTGGAGACGCCGAAATGAACTGCTGTGAAGAAGCTCACGACCCCATCCGAAAACCAATTTATCGCTGTCTTTCACTACAACCTGAATCCGGGTGTACACATGGGGATAAATTTTCAGAAGGATGCATCGTATACACCTGGGATCCACGCCGCCACGCCAAAAAATTTGAACACATTGGTTCACCTGCACAGATAACGGAAAACCAGATGAATCATCCACTGAAATATTCAGAGAACCTCGGTGCCACTGACACCCTGCGCCCACCTAACGGGACTCTGCATTAGACACTTTATTCATTCGCGTACTAGCTTGGTTTCCAAGGGAATTTTTGCAGTTTACCACATGCAAAGTAGTTTATAGTTTAGGGCGGAAAGGACCATAAGCTCAAGGACCAAAGTGGCGTTTGGGGCCGTTCAAAACTCGCTACTTTTCCGGATTTTTAAGTCTGGATCAAAAAATACTGGATTTCCATCTCAATTCAGATCCTGTCTTCAAATATTTTTCTCGACACGGATATCTAAGGTCAATCTAAATTTTCTTAACCCACTGTTCACATAGCATTGAAAATGGTCCCAAAAAGCCCATTCCAGACAAAAACCGAATGATATATTCTAATGGAGGTACTGGACTGCCGGTGTTTGGGCAATAAAGCCTCTAAAATTTGCGAAAACTTCAAGAAAATCGACCTTAAAACTACGTTTAAATCAGGAATGATTAAGCAGTCATTCTTACGACATTTACGCACCATGTTACATCTACTGATTACTCATTCTGTTGGATAACGGACACATCAGTCGGGATCCTGAAGACTGATTGTCAACATTCAGCCTACATTTAAATGAGTGCCTTGAATGAATTCGGGAACAGGTCGCTATGCCAGGTGGTCAAAAGTAGTATGATGGGCTTCGTTGTGTTTTTCAAGTCCCGCAACCTTTTTCGTCTGCACCGTTGTTCTGATTCTTGCGATAAGATTCTTCGTCTGTAAAGGCTCACCAAGTTCGATGTTACCTATTTAAACTGAAATGTGGGTCAGTCCTTTCCGGCGTCAATACGGTGACTCATTCACCATGAACAGCTTATACGTTTGTGAATCACACGAGAAAATTTCGAAGTGAAGCGGTTGTAGAAAATATGTAACTACTAATCGTCCTGTTGATGTGACGTCTTTCACTGAAGAATATGTCGTTCTCGGGAATAGAGACAAAGGAGGTGGCTCGGTCAACGTTGTTTTTTCTCTGGCGATTATGTGCAACAGTAGAATTCCGAGGTGTATCATCACCCTTTCCCATACCCCAGTTGGTTACCTTAAACATAAGTGGAAAAGAAACCAATGAGACTACCCAAGTATGAGCCACTCACCTGATTCTCTTCCCAGGTGGCTAATTGAGTAGTTTCACTTGTCAGATCTGCACACAAATCAACACGGAGTGACCATCAGAGAGTTGACGAAGGAGTTTCGCTTTTTCTGCGATTTATGTCGGTAAAAGATAAAGCCCGCACAACCACCTGAAACAAGTTTGTTACCAAAGGTCATATCCTCTATTCAGAGCTGTAGGCGGTATGACTATTGATTCACTTAGGTGTCTTATACAGACAACCACCAACCACCCAAGAAGTTTTTTTCATCTATCTGTAATTGTGGTCTGTTACAGTTTGTAATAAATGCCGCAAGTCCTTTGTTCGACACACACGTCTCACTCTAGATCGTTTTGTCTGGCCGTTGTTAATTTTTTGAGGAAAACGGGCTGTAATTAGTAAGAGGTCAGTAGAAATGCTCACTGATAGTTTATCGGTCTGAAGATTGATCATCCCCAAGTCCTTGTGTGCCATCAGTAGCCTTTGTGCCGGCGTACACAACACCGAACCAAGTGTCGAGCTTCAGCTATGCCAGGTAATTCACCTACACTGTTGACTCTGATGTATGGGCCAAGTGACCACCCAGTGAATTTTGAGCTCCAATCAATGAATCGACTTCATTTTCCAAAGGCATGCCTCAGTCACAAAACCCAAAGTTTAATTCATTTCCTGACAACGAAGCTACATTGATTCATTACATCAGCCGGGCTAAGAAGGAGACTTAAAGCAAATATGTGACCAACATGCTCATCGTTTAATCCATCAGGCCACAAAATTTAAGTATCCTAAATACTGGGTTGCTTGGAAAAACTGAAAAATAATTGAGTGTTTCTGATGGAATTTGCTGATGAAGCATATTGAAATTGGGGGTGAGATGGCCCGAGAGCACAAATTTACTGACCGGAAGGTCGTAGTTCGAACTTGACCTCCACCTCTCGGCTTCTCCTGTCTAGGCTTGGGCAACCTGGCAGTATCCCAGCCCTCGTGCAACCTTAGGGTGGCATGTCAGTTAGGCAACAAAAAGGTGCAACAACTGAACAATGTTGAAATAGGACCAAAAGAAAAACTTTTCCGGCACTCAACTCAGTAACTGCTAACCAGTTACACGCCTGAAGACAGAATTTTCGGGAAAAACTACAAGATCAACATTAACGAAGATCTGCAGGGCGACCAAATGATACTGGTTCAAGTGGCAGTTTTATAGCTGAATGTTCTTTCAAAGGACTTGCTGAGCAACAATAGACCCGTCTTCAACAAGGCTGTTTTATTTTTATTAGAAAAAAGTTCTTCTTTAACAACAGCCCTCGGTCACCTGACAGCTATCGAACTCATACTTCTCCTAGGTAATGTTGGGAGCGTTACTGCAGAATACACTAGAAAATTTACTCCTCCATCTGGAACTGAGATTTAGATCTTGTGGTTTGAATACCAACAGGGAATTACGAAAAAAACAGAGACCAAAGTTGATCCTCCAATCCGTTTTGTCCGCCCAAAAACAGCGGCAGTTGAAAATAAACGAATGCCGGCGCGGTGTGACAATTCCTTTGAAATCATCAAAATGTTCACCGAGGGAACAGGGTACAATGGTATTTGTAGGCTAAAGTAGGGCGCCTGTGTTTAGGCGAGAGAAAACACGGCGCGCCCACTGAATAATGCAGTCTGATTATAAAGGTGGAACACTTGAGTTTATCATTGAATCATATGAATATGACTCATGGTGTCAGGTATTGGTGCTATGAAGAGGAGCCACGCCGGCTAAGTACAGCGGTCCTTTCATCCCTGTTCTCAGCGTCTTCGTCCTGAGAGAATCGGGAATGGGAAGCAAGTGGTGAAATTAGCTTGGACTGAACGAAGAAAGCAGGTTAATACAAAATTATCTCAATTAAACGGAAGTTGGTCTTTGTGAAGTTCAACACAGAAGTGAAAACCAAAACTGTAAAAAAGCTGGGGTGAGTTTCGATGTTAAAAACGGCAGAGAGAGAGGGTAGGACCAAGGCTTTTCAACCTAGTAAACAGAATTATAGGTACCAGAACAGTGAGACGTATGTTAAAAAATGGAACAGTATCTTCGTAATGCACTACTACTATACAAATATACATGTATCGCGATGTCTTGAATATCGTAGCGAATGAAACATGAGGTCACCTGGTGCAGCACATTCAGTTGCCTGGAAACATCACAAACGGTAAATTCAGGCTGGGTTCCGGTGGATCCCTCGAAAAACTAAATTAGTTTGCAAATAAGTGTATTTCGCTAATGGAACAGTATCATTCAGAATCACAAACGATATGCGTATAAACTAAAAGAACAAAACATAAAATAGGCATGTGCAGTGATTTTCAGTTTGTCCTATGGTCATCCTAGGGAATATTGTTTTTTCCCTAATTCTGTTGAAGACTGACTACTACTGACTGTTAAAACTAGTTGACCTTGGGCCTTTTTCCAATATCTGATATTCCATTTCGAGCAACTTATTGGTGTTTTGATGGTTATTCAATGCCAAGCACGGTTGTTTTCGGTCTGTGGCTACAGAAATCCGTGACCTTTGAAGCCGGCAGTAAATCATGATGCTAGCAACAGACCACTTTACCAACAATGGAGAGAAATGCGTAGTGTACTTCGGAATGGCCTCTTTTTCACTGGGAATAGACCACAAGGTAATCTCTTCTTGTTCCGTTGAATCATGGTTCCATGATATCGGGGGTATTCTAGTCTAAATTTCTAGAAATTCAGCCGCTGAAATTCAATCAAGTTTTCAGTACTCCAGGAGAGAAGAAAACCCTATAGGTTGAGTGTGCTCTTCCATTTCACATTTCGTCTCCCCTTCAGAAAAAGTTTAAATTTGACATGCAGCTCACAGTCGTTCTGCAGCAATGTCTGTTCAATTCGCTGGACCTATGGGAAAGGTTCAATAGATGAATAGGAAGTGTTTGATATCGTCCCTGTGAGATCCTTTCCTCGAGTTTATTGGTAGCAAGACTTACTGCTTTTACTCCAAAATCAGTACGTCATGTGCTTTTGTTAGAACTGAACGTACTCACAACAGTTAGTTCAATGGGTTGAGTCTAAAGGTACCTTTCAGATGACAACCTTTGATTTAGTGGATGATGTCATTACAATGTGGGTTGCGGGGTTCTCTGTCCACAACTCCCGACGTCTTCATGGAAAAATCCAAAAGATCCTTCAAAAATCTGAAATGCCAACTCGGAAAGGTGTCTCATGCTGCGTGTGGTTGAACCTCATATTTCCACATTGCTGACCTATTGGTCGAAGTTTCGAAAGGTAAGTGAAAATCCATAGCCACTCATTTATAGCTTGTTTGGATGAATTTTGTGGCCAATACTGTATCTGAACAACGCAGTAGAACAATAAGGTTACAAGATAAATTCGATTCGTTCACTCTTTTCCCCGAAAAACGTGTAAAACACAATGCGGTGCAGCTGACAGTAGTTATACAGTTCGAAAGCCAAAGTGACCGATCAATACGAACAAGGCAGTCTCAGAGTAACAACCACTAACCCACCGCTACGCACCACTGCGCTCCCCAATAACGCACTGGTAAGCTTTATGTCTTTCCGAGTTCAGAAAACAGGCTTATGGCGACTAACTAATATTGCCTCAAGGAACCTTAGCCTCTCTGACGGATTGCTTCGTGCTGGAACCCTAAGGGATGAACTGATTTCAACTCTGTGACCTTCATCGATTGGTGACCTACTGATAGACGATTTGACCCTGGATTTGATTGGCGCTGGGTTAGAGTCAGCTAATGGTACGGAGTTTTTGGGCACGGGCTACACGGACTGCTTTGTTTTTATTGTTAAGGCCACTTTGTTTTAGAATTGTATGAACGCTATAAGCTGTGTTGAATCATGTACCTTATAGTGTTTTATGTGTTTTGGGGCGGAACATTTACAAACTGCATTCATCTCACAACCTTGTTGTCTCCACTGCTTTGCTCAAATTGATCAAGAGATCACAGCGCTCAAATTAGGAATTAGATCAAAATTCCCAGATTCACCCTCAATTTGTCTTCTCAGGATCATTCATGGAAGTGCATTCAACTTTCTGTTCCATTGTCATCGAGACGATTCGTTTATTCAGCCGGTGACACGGGCTAGTCAGTTCCCTCAAGACTGGTAACAACGAGCAAAAGAGATGCGAATGGCTAACACCAGCCTTTAATAAACCCATCCATACTCATATCACGTGACCAGTATGATCTTTTTTCGTCATAAAGTTGCGCAGCACCAGCTTGTTGACTAGGATATTGAGTATCTGATGAACGCGCATTTCGCTGGAAGCTACTCATTGAACAACCTAAGGGTCACCCCGCTGTTTTATCTTTAATAACTGTTATTTTGACGTACTCCTGAATGACACATCTTATTACTAACCTATCGGTCGCGTAGTTGCAGTAGTTGCAAAGCACCCATTTGAAAAGCATTTCAACGTGAGGAGAACACTTTTTGCATAAAAAGTTCATATGATTCATAACAGGAATGAACTGAAATAGGTTACTTGAGCTGTACGTCGCAGTCTGACAAAGCTTTTGGGGGTGATATAATCAGTTGAGCCAACCAATGAAATGAAAGTTCAGTTTGCCACTCCAGCTCTATGAATTTTGGAAGTTCATTGGTCCTTGTATTGGAAAGACTGCTGGTTTGACGCGTTCGTGCACTCATAACACTTTTGTGTCTGACAAGGCAATTGATTATCACTTTATCCGGAACCATAACTAAATTTGGTACAGTAGGTTGGTACCATTTTCTTGCGGTTAATGGACCCTGTACCAGCTACTTTGTTCGGTTTATTCACAATAGCATTCTCATCCGTTTGGGCTCGAACGGAGATATCTGGTTAGTTGGGGCGCAACTCTGTAGGATTAGGTTTCTACTTTACCGGAGGTAACAGTTAACTAGGACTGATATGAATAACTATAAATTTTTTCTCTGGATGAAACCTAAGGCTGAGCAGGGATTCGAATTCTACGTTCAACCCTGATTGCTCACTCTTAAGTCCTTTAGTATCCTATTGGAGACAGTAGTCCGAAAAGCGGGTTGTTGTTGCCATCGGCATCTCGTCAGCCAACTTCACATGGTTTGTAGATAAATTCAGCGACATTGTGTCCCTCGGGTTATCATTATCAAGCTGATATCTAATAATTCAGCAAGTGATTCATAGGCATGTGCGTTCAAGTCGGTAAGCGAACATACAGTCCTCTACCATGGTTATCCTACTTGGAAGATGCTACTTGAAAGGACCAATAGAGATTCATCCATTCCAGGAGGTAATCTCTTCTGTGGGGAAAGGTTTCATTTAAATAAGGTACAAAGTACCAAATAAATCTGGTCGCTTCTACAGGATTCTCTTTCTGGAGGTAATCGCTCCGAAGGGGAACGACTGTACATCCCACACTTGCATAACACCAAAGTTAATTAGGAGATTTGATTTGCTGAAGCAAAATATTCATGAAACACAGAGTACCAATTTGGTGCTGATTAAATTCACCGTGTAAGCTTTTTTCCTGCATTGCCATATCGTCACTGAACCATCGTGTATGAGTAAACCAACTTTTCATCTCGTTCCTCAAGTGTTAAGGAGACTGTGGTGCAGTTTAATTGTTTTACCATCTGCTGTTTTACCTTGTTCGAAACAAGATCCTGCGCGCGTCAGTGAAGGGCACTTCGATGACTTTTCAAGCTGTTCAAAAAGGCACGTGTTATACTGAGGTCAAACCGCCCACTCTTTTCACCAAAAGAAAACGATGTGCCAGATCTGTTCGGAAAACGTGACGCATTTGTCAAACAGCGATCAGGTTGTATATTTCTGAAAACGGCTGTTATTGATGGGATCATACTGATTTTTAAGGAAATGAGCTGGTTCCGGCGGATTACTTGTAGAGTGTATGGTGGAGCCATTCCGCATCGACGGCCGAAGAGACCAGTCGAAAAAAGTTTGATCCAGGGTGGAGAACCCCATAAAGACTGTTCCAACCAGGCGCTTGCACGTGAGGTAAATCGCTACGCAATATATTACTTACCTTCAAATACTAATTGCGTAAGAAAAGCAGTATCGATAAGATGTGTGAAATACAAATAAAGACACTTGTCTTCATTGTTCCTCTCGAATTCGCTGCTTCAACTTTATACTACACCAAGTGGCCTTTCAGCTAATTTTGAATAAATTCAAGGATGCTGTATCGCATGATGACAGCGCGCGAAACACTATTCAAATCAACTTCGGAGCTTCACTCGACATGTGCAATGCTCACTGATGTGACCGGTAATGCTTAGTAGCCACAATCGACAGCATTTAACACTGGTGATCTGTGCTCCTGAGGTGCACGACATTACACTTCATTTGAGGTATTTGAGGGACATTATGTGAATTCTAAGGATATTTGATACGCTGAGAAATGATGTGTTTTCAAGGATGTCGGAATAAGCAGCTGGTATATTGCAAAGAAGTTATTTCGTAGAAACGTTTGCCAATCATCATCCTCATCATCAAGGACAGCAACATCAGTGATGAGACTGTTGCTTCGCAGCCGTGGAACCATAAGGTTCGTCTAATTATATTTAAGGCCCTAAATTGAAAAGAAGAGAAAAAGGGTGGGAGAGGGAGGCCTGTGTCAAGCATTCTGAGGTGCCTACACCTACAATCTGAAAATAAACTGACAGCACGAACGGTACTGATATCGATTAGCCGGAGGCCTGTGGCATTCTGAGGTGCCTACACCTACAATCTGAAAATAAACTGACAGCACGAACGGTACTGATATCGATTAGCCGTCATTTCTTTCAACGTCTTCGGCCAAGCACAGGTGGGGTCACGGGGATCCCATCCTGGAAGGCGTGCGATATCAAAAACGCCCACAACCTCAGTAGTCTCTTTCACGCCATTCTGCCAAGTCATGCGTTGTCCACCCTGCGGTTTGCAGCATTCTGAAGAAGGCACGGAGAACAACACTTGTCTCAGTAGTCAGTGTTCTGGCATGCGTAGCACATGACGGAGCCTTCGCGGTCGGTGGTGTTGGATCTTTTCCTCGATTAAAGAATCTGCACCACACCTCGTTACTCACACACTAACGCCATCGAAAACCAGGCACGCTTCTGAGGCATCGGTTGTTAAAAACCTGAAGACGCCTCATATCATCTGTCCGTCACGAAGAGACTGGACCTTACCGTGGTGTGACAGGTTTGCGCACCTCAGCGTTGCATTGAGCTATACTGGGGGTGTCCCCGCGACACTCACAGGGTCTCTCATATCAGGTTGGTCAATGGTTAGAGGTCTGACGAACACAGTCTCCTGACCCTCCAGGTTGGGGTTTGGAACATATTTAGCGAAGTGTTCCGTAAAAATGGTAATGTACTCGCATTTCCGACCCAACACTGTTGCCTTGTGATTAAGCTTTTGAGCCAAAGGCTTTGGTTGAAGACCCTGATCGTCCTCCTGTCTAGGTGTGGACACCCTGGCAGTATTCAAACCCTCGCACAATCATGACATTTACGGCTAACAATACATTTTTAGCCAAAAACAGTTGCCAAACAGTTTCCTGGCCAATATCTCTGGTTTAGCTGCCAAGAGAACCAAGGGACTGCGGAAAACCAAGTACAACGGCATCTATCGGAAATCACTGAGGTTAACAAAGAAGTGCCTCCAAAGTAACTCATTTTTGAATGCCTGATTGTGAGCTGGTGGTATACTCTGTGAATTAATTCAAGGATATTCCAATGGTCATACCATTCTGCGGTACCACTGAATGAGGTGCGAATGAAGAAAAGTAAACCAAAGGAACATGCGGTTTCGTACGACATTTGCAAGGCCAGTATGCGGTAAAAATTGAAAGCGTCATATGAGTGATAATCACATTAAACGAGATTCAGAGAATTCGTGAGCCACAAAGCGATTAGCAACACGTATCGTTATGTCCTTATGTGACGTGTTTCGAGGCCACCAACTCGCCTTGGCATTGATTGATCTGGATATTAAGTGCGCAGGCTATGGTTCATACCCCAGTAGGTTTACAATGAACTCAGTTGAAGCCATATCTGGCTTCGCACAACTGGACTGTAGTTCTACCCATGCTACACGGGCTCGGGTGATAGACCTCAGACGATAGATTGCCATCTATGGTGTACAGTTCAGTCTTTTCTTTTAGGACAAAGGCCCTGTTCAATCGAGCTCAACAACATGCAACCCGGAAATACGTGTCCGTTCCTCCACTATTCCATATGGTTTATTCCAAACTTATTTCAGCCTGCTGAATTTTACTAATCAGGTGACAAACATGGTATTGAATCTTGTCGAACAGATAGATAGATATTTGCGAATTCGGCCTTACTTCTACCAAACCGGACATAGTATATTGACGTGGCCGCATAACTTCTCTTTGCAGCCAGTTTCCAACAAACTAACCGGGGAGTGGGTGAGATGGTTATGGATTTCTTTTTAAAATCGAGGTCAACCAAGCTAAAAAAAGCAGATGAACTTTACAAATACCACTTTCCTAAAGGTAGGAAAACATTTCATCCTTTATAACCAGGACAAAGATTTTTCGTGGGTTCACCGAGCTGACCAACTGTGACAATCGACTGTTCACTGTTGGACAGTCAGAAGGTCATGTCCGATTCGCACATATCTGTCAGACGAGGTGATAAAAACGTTTGGCTAGCTGAGCTTTTCGGAATCGGATCACATTCCTAAATTCCAAGATAGTGCTTGTACAATTTGGTGAACTTTTTAATGGGAAATGACTTAACTACTTAAAATCGGTAGGGAGCCAGTATAGAAAAGTTGGACACATGCTTTGACCATGTTTTCGTCTGGTCAGCTGATACGAGAATGAATACCTATTTCCTGAGGATACGGAACACTTTGCTTATCGGTGATTTTCGACTAAAAAAACACGGCTATTGCACACTGTATTCAGTTTGGAACATCGCGAACCATGTAGATGTTCCAACAAACGCCCGAAATAAGTACCACTAAACAGATGACAAATTACAAGCAAACCAATAAGCAATCTTGCCCCTCGTTCAAACAGGATACCTCTCCAGGAGACACTCAATCAGCCAGAACCCACAAACAATCCTTGTTTGGACGGATCCTTTTACACCCCTGAATGCATGCAAGAAATGTGCGCATTACCGTCCCCTTAGTGTGGTCGTCCTGTAGTTTCTTGTTGTCTTTCAGGTCAAGATAAAAAACACTCGTTCTTAAGGCTATGTGCGAATCAGACAGTCGACCGGAAGTGTAAACAAACTAGACAGTCGAACGACACTTCGAATAGCTTTCTCACACAGACAGATGACACTGTGTTTCGCTGATGGAAAAAATGCCGCCAACTCCGAAAAACAACACACCTAGAGAAACAAACTGAAGACCAAGTGTGTACTGGTTGTCTGACATCCGCAAGACTGCTGCTTCAGACAGGTGTGTGTGTGTGTATGGAATACAAGAGAGTTTCTCAGTTCTTGATTTAAAATTATCGTTGTAATGCTTAACGTAGCTTGGAAATCTGCTGATGACCAAACGTTGGAAGAGGAATTTATTGATCCAAGAAGTTACTCATATTTAGAGTATGGATTCGTTCTTTTGTCGGAATCATGCAACCGGCTAAGACATTAAATTGAAGTCACATTAGACAAAAGAATCAATGATAAGACCAGTAAAGAATAATTTGGCGGTAGAAATTAGGAATATTTAGCCCCAACCTCTATATGGATCATTCAAGCAAAGTTAAGCGTTGCGTATGGCCCCTCCAAAAGGGATACATCCGAAGCGAGGTCACCATCCAGGGGAACTACGCAATAGGTTTCTTCACCAGTAGCAGTGCTATTATAAAATTTGGAATAGACCCAAAGATGAAACGCACTCGCCTCCGTGCCGACGGACAGGCCTGAGGGAATCGTATAGATTTATGCCATACTCTTCAGGGTTTCATGGCTTCAACTATTTGCGTTATCCGTCATGACAACGAATTCAATTTTTACAGGAATCAAAGAATGTAGAAAAAGTGCATCAACGCTAGAAATCAGCGTTTTTAGTGACCGGAAAGTTTGTCCTAAACTTTCGGAACTAAAATAATCAGGAAGGGTGTTCACTTGTCTAGAGGGTGTTGGCGGAGCGAGATGTGGACCCCACACGCACTGTCAGCAATGGCATCGTTGAGATCTTCGAAGCGCTCGGTACTGAGGCTGTACGTAAAGCAATCAAGTGTGAAATATATCACGTGATTTCTTCTGATGGGTCATATGTAAACTACCGACATTTGGCATTACTATGTGACATTATGACGGCTAAAGGTCACCTTTATGGCAATTACTCGTCACGGACTAAACAGACTTGACACAGATGCCCTGGCACGTTGCAGTTTCGAGGAAACAGTAGATATCTTGATGGATGCAACAACGCACGCGGAATGTGATCCAATGGCAGGTGTTTCAGAAGCAATAATGCTCGGTCAGCTGGCAAAGATAGGCACTAGATGTTTTGATTTACTGTTAGACTCTGCAAGACAGATACTTTGGATGGTCTTGCTGTCAGCGGAATGTGTTCTTCACTACCGAAAGATAGTGTATGTAGTGAAGCCGTATATCGCGTGAGAGCTAAACCCTATATTGTGTTCACACCGAGGTGGGACAAACATTTTTGTGTCACTGCACGCAAGCATGTTACCGCCAACTATCATCCACTTCCCCAAGCCAATTCTATGATTTATCTTGATGTCCTAATCTAGTGTAACTTAACATGGCACAAATACTGTGACAGTCTTCCTCAAAACTCTAACGTGTTACTTCACACGACGATTTTCTCCCTTAAACTTTGGCAATTCTAATTACCCGAAATTTCACACTTGATACCACTTTGTGGGTTACCTTTTCTCGTTCATTGGTTCTCTTTAGTGGACCCTATCACCACCAAAATAATTCACTAGGCTTTTACTGGAATCCTGTAAAAATTTTCTTTAGTTTTCTGGTGGACATTTCAAGTGATATGTCCTACAGACTTTCCTAATGAGGTTTCTCACCCTTTACTTCAAGAAACAACCAAGTACCATCTGAACCATCCGCGAGATGGACCAAGTGGTTAGAGCGTGAATTTACTGACCAAAAGGTCCGTGGTTCGAACCCGACCTCTGCCTCTCGGCTTCCCCTGTCTAGGCTTGGGCAACCTGGCAGTATACCAGCCCTCGTGCCTCCTTCGTGTGGCATGGCAGCTAGACACTGAAAGGGTGCCACAGCTGGACGATATATATGTGAGAGAAAATCTACATAAAAAAACCTCATGCTGCTGTGTCACTGAAATCAGAAAGCGCTTCTGACCTCAATGTCATCATTCACAGCCGAATCTTTGAAACCAATGTACGCATGAATTGCTCTCCATCGTCCCACTAAGTTCGTCCTATCACCCTCTCAAGTTACTTGCGTCTTCAGTTTTGGTTCAGAAGCTGTCTAATCACGTATTTCGCCTTCGACCATACAAAATGGTTGTTCTGTGGAAATTTCCCCTTCACAACGAAAAAGATAAATATCTGTTTTGTCTTGACCGAAGCATTACTGTTTCAAAGTCGACTCATAGACTATGAGCTATTCGGCGATTGGGAGCAATTTCCTGATATTTGTCAAATTACGCATACATATGTACTATTTTGAACGGCTTTGAAATGTTATTCACGTTAAAATCTCATCAGCTTACTTTTAAACGTCCTTCTCAGGTGCGTTCACACTCTTCTTCCGACTCTAATCATAAGCATCAGTAGATCACACTCGTCTTGTTTGGTTATTAGTGATTTGCAAACCGGATAGGTAAAGTTATCAACTTTAGCGTGGCACCTACCAAATCAGTTGGACAAACTGTAAGCTAGTGAACCTTGCAAACAAGTAGGGGAGACCATTGCAGAATTATGCTGTTCAGCTTATAAAATCCCAGTACACAAAAACTATCCCTTCATGAGAACCGTTTCTCGAATCTCTACAACGACTAATACACATAGGTAAAGACTATCCAAACAGAGAAGTTAACTGAACATTTATACGTTTCGATATTTTCAACTCACTCCGGCGTCTACTCAAAGCCGTCATCTGGAGGTTGGATATGTTGGATCGCTTGGTCCATAGTTTGCTGTCTTCAGGCTTGGAAACCGGGATTGACAATTGACAACGTTGAACTTTCGACATCAGTGGCTCTTGCAAATCTAAGATTTGTGCACATTGACGATAAGCGGAGGTTTAAAGTAGTCGGAGTGCAGCCGCTCCGGGTGCTGACGGAAACTGTACGATGTTAAGTTAAAACACAAACTGGGTTTGCACAAACTTCACGAACACACTTTTACATACATAGATATAATGCACTACTAAAAATTCAACCTTATGAGTAGTGCATTGTGTTTATACTTGTATCGCGATATCTGGAATATCGTAGCAACTGGAACACCGAACGACCTGGTGCAGCACATTCAGTTGCCTGGAAACACCACAAACGAAAGAGATTCAGATGGATTCTAAGTGAGTCTCTCGCAAAACCGAATTCGTTTGCAAATGGGTGCAATTCGCTTTTACATACATAATTTCATATTGGTGTAAAATCTATTCACGAAGATCAGGTGTCTGATCAGCTGATCCGGTCCGGCCTACGGTGTAGCTCCATGAAGCACGCAGGTCTAAGATGCCAGAATCGAAAATATTTACTGTTTGCTGCACAAAATATGGGACCCGTTGAATAGGATAATCAATTTGAAAAGTGTGGCTAGCTTGGATAACAGAGTGAGATGAACGTTTAGAAAAGGCCCACCATTTATACATTACAGTGCGTGTCTCGAACGGATGATTCGCTCGCAAAACTTCGTTTGCAAATGGGTGCAATTCGCTTTTACATACATAATTTCATATTGGTGTAAAATCTATTCACGAAGATCAGGTGTCTGATCAGCTGATCCGGTCCGGCCTACGGTGTAGCTCCATGAAGCACGCAGGTCTAAGATGCCAGAATCGAAAATATTTACTGTTTGCTGCACAAAATATGGGACCCGTTGAATAGGATAATCAATTTGAAAAGTGTGGCTAGCTTGGATAACAGAGTGAGATGAACGTTTAGAAAAGGCCCACCATTTATACATTACAGTGCGTGTCTCGAACGGATGATTCGTTGACCACTGGGCTAGAAGTCCAGATGTCTGAAGTTGGGTCCTCTACATTGGCCGCACTTATGTAAGTGGCAAGTAGTTTGTCAAGTAGTTTATCAGACACCCACGTGGTAGGTGATACAGTTCACGCAGCCATCGTGTGCACTGAGAGTGCATATGCCTTGGAGTTACTATCAGACAATAATCAGGTTTAGAATTTACCGTGAGTTTGTGTTTTGTGATAAAAGAGGCAATGAAGGGTCATTCAACAAGAAGCTTGCAGAAAACCAGACAATATTGCTTTCTTGCTAAAGTGAAAACAGCTGCCATCTAGGGCGTCATAAAAAAAGTGCACGATGGAAGCATTCCATTCTTAATTTCCTTAGAAAGCTGGTTGCTGTTGGCCTGCAAAACTGCACGAAGAGAAGGACGGCAAAAGCATGACACCAAACAGTAGAGGCAACTAAAGGAACTCCAGTGGAACCCTGTAGCACTTGATGAATCATTGTTATGCGCAGTACCTGGTAAGATCTGTTTGTTTTTCAGATTGATTTAGAAGAGAAGGTTGAAGAAAGATGGTGTCCATTTAAGAAGTTCAGCGGGCGATAACCAGACGGGATATTCGCAGGAAGGTGCTGAAATGCCTGTTTGACCACAGACGTTAATGGAATCAACTTGGATGTGAAAGTTTTGAAAGGGGAGGAAACGTCTCCTCTATGTAACTTTGCAGTTGGATAACCGCACACAGTGGGTAATGCAGAATATGGTTTGTGCTGAGCCACATGCGCACCCGTCTGAACGCGCCGTATGGCCGTAACGTATAAGAACAGCATGAAGTACAATGCAGGTCGTGTATTCAAGCGAATATATATATATATATATATATATATATATATGCATATGCGTTG